TGAAACAGAGGTATTTACCCAATGCCTGTACCCTCAGTGTATTTAGGAAGTAACTAACTTGCTTTAGATTTTACAGGCTCATAAGCAGGAGGGACTTGCCTTGTCTCAGATAAGACTATGGACTTGGACTTTTGGTTTAATGCTGAAATGAGTTAAGGCTTTGGGGAACTGTTGGGAAGAGCATGATTGTGTTTTAAAATGTGAGGACATGAGATTTGGTTTTTTTTGGTTGTTTTTTTTTTTTTTTTTTTTGAGACGGAGTCTAGCTCTGTCACCCAGGCTGGAGTGCAGTGGCACGATCTCGGCTCATTGCAAGCTCCACCTCCTGGATTCACGCCATTCTCTTGCCTCAGCCTCCCGAGCAGCTGGGACTACAGGCGTCCGCCACCAAGCCCGGCTAATTTTTTGTATTTTTAGTAGAGACGGGGTTTCCCCATGTTGGCCAGGATGGTCTCGATCTCCTGACCTCGTGATCCGCCCGCCTTGGCCTCTCAAAGTGCTGAGATTACAGGCTTGAGCCACCGCGCCCGGCGACATGAGATTTGTGAGGGGCCAGGGTTGTAATGATAAGGTTTGGCTGTGTCCCCACCCAAATCTCATCTTGAAATGTAATCCTCATGTGTGGTGGGAGGGACCCAGTGGGAGGTCATTGAATCATGGGGGTGGTTCCCTCGTGCTATTCTCATGACAGTGAGTAAGTTCTCACAAGATTTGATGATTTTATGAGGGGTTTCCCCCTTTGCTCGGCTCTCATTTCTCTCTCCTGCTGCTATGTGAAGAAGGACGTGTTTGCTTCTCTTTCCACCAAGATGGTCAGTTTCCTGCGGCCTCCAAAGGCCTACTGAAGGGTGAGTCAAGTAAAACTCTTTTCTTTATAGCTTACCCAGTCTCAGATATGTTCTTATAGCAGCATGATAGCAGACTAATATATAGAGCAATACAACTTTTTCCCTAGGGAATGTGAATAAAGAAATGTAGAGAGAATTTGTCCTTAAGCAATTGGAATAAGAGTTGAACAATAAAGTAGCTATGGCGGCTGAGTTTAGTCATGGTAGTATCAGTTTTATTAAGCCCACATTGAATGCACCATGATACTTTTAAGTACCAAAATACTGGGTTTTTCTTTTCTATAATATCACTACCTCATGCACACACAAAAATGTGAAATCTGAACCGTTTAAAACTGTAGAATCATACAAAGAGGGTAAAAGAACAAAGTGGTGCTCTGAAAGTGTTCTAACCATATTCCTCCCTTGATAATAACCCTTCCCAGGTATTTTGTTGATGTTTTCAATTCTTTCCTAGATAAGCCTCTTTTCATATGTTTATGAATAATCTGCATACACATTAGTACAAATTTGAGATTCTAGTTACTTCTGGAGGCCCTGCTGGGGTTGGCTTAGAGTGATAGGGCAGGTGCCTTAAGGAAAATAGCAGGATGATGAGGAAAGGGGATTGGGAGAGAGGAGGGCAGAGTAAAGGTGGGAGGCGCTCCCATACCCAATTTCTAGCTCTTTTCCTAGCCTAAGCAGCTCCCTTCCCCCAGTGCTGGGTTCTCTCTTTTTTTCCTGCTCCTTTATCCTCATAAATCAGATCCACTTTTTAGATTCTCATCACTGCCATTCCTCCAGCACTATGAATACTATCATGTATCTTATCAAGGGCCATATTTCCCAACAGTCTTCCCTGTTGATACTTTAGCCAAAAGGTCAGAATAGCCTCAGTCCTCTCTATGGTAGAACAAAGTCTAAAAACAAAATGTAGAACTGTGTTGCTCAATATAGTAGCCACCAATTATATGTAGGTAGATCTTGAAAACTTGAAATGTGGCTAGTCCAAATTGAGACCTACCATCAACATAAAGAACATACTAGATTTCAAAGATAGTACAAATAAAATAACTAAAGAATTCAATGCATTTATATTGATTACCTGTCAAATATTCTGGAACTGATTTAAATAAAATATACTATGAATATTAAGTTCACATGTTCTCTTTTTTAAAACAAATGTGGCTACCAGAAAATTAAAAAATTATATATATTTATGTTGGGCAGCCCTGGAGTAGAAGTTGATAGTAATCGTATTTCACTTTTTGTTAAAATACTATAATTAATACTAATGTTAATACAGCCATTTTGAAGTCACGTAAAATAAATACCACAATGCTTTTAGGGTTATTTTGCTTTATAGCAATCTCTGTGATATATTATATGAAAATCCAAATTAGGAGAAATGAGTCAGCAGAAACACTGAAGAAAGAAAAATACACAGAACAAGTTGAGGATCAAGAACCTAACTGTATAAACAACAGAGCAGAAACAAGCTGGTAAGATGGTAGTGGCTAATAACACTGACTCATGGTCAAAGGGCAAGGGTCCTCAGCTGCAGCTCTTGAGGGTCTCACCTTGGATCTGGAGCTATTTGTCATTTTTCAGTTTCTATTATTTCTAAGTAGCTTCATGTGTAGCTTCAGAGGCAAACTTTTCTTTATTAACCAACTTCAACATGTAAAGCACCTTTCTCCTGCTAGGGCTATGGTAGCGAACAAGCCAAGCAGGCCTTTGCCTTAATGTAGCTTTTGGGGAAAGAAACTATTATTATAGAAATAATCAGCATTTGATAACAACTAAACTAAGCATTAACTAAGCCAGAAAAATTGACGTAGCGAGAAGATCTCTAAAGGCAACGAAACAGGTTGATGCCACAAAGGGTTTTTGTTAAGAGATGACTACTCATTCGGAAACTGACAGTTGAATTGGAACATGGAAGTTGAGAGACAGCCAGTCATACAAAGAGCCAGGATTAGGGAGAGAAAGGGGAGAACATTCCAGGCAGGAGGTAACAGCAGGTGCAACATCCCCAAGGCAGAAAAATTTTTAGTTTGTTGCAGAAACAGTAAAATTGGACTGGAGGGAAGGGAAAACGTTAAAGAGTCAGACAACGAATCAGGTCATATAGGGTCTTGTATGCAATTTGGATTTTCTTCTAAATGCACTGGAAAACTATTGAAGAGTTTTAAGCTGTGGAATTGCATGACCAATTAGGAGTCTACTGCAGTGTTTCAAGTAAGGTGCGATAGAAGCTTGGATTTAAATAATCCCCAATTCTTTCTAACCACATAAGGTTGTGCATTTTATTAAATTTACTAAGAAATAATAATGTTCAGCTAGTTTTTAAAATGTTCAATTCTGCCTTTTTTTTTTTTTTTTTTTTTTAAAGAGACATAGTCATGCCATCACCCAGGCTGGTGTGCAGTGGTGCGATTTTTCTCACTGCGGCATCAAACTCCTGGGCTCATGTGATCCTTTCATCTTAGCCTCCTGAGTACCTGGGACTCAGGTACATGCCACCACACCAGGCCATTTTTTTTTTTTTTTGTAGAGACAGGGTCTCACTATGTTGTCCAGGCTGGCAATTCTATTTTTATTGATTACAAACTTATGTACATTCTTTGAAACAAATTTTGAAAATATGAATAGGTACCAAGAAAAATAAATTCATATTTTCACTGTGCAGATAAGCACAGGTGACATCATAGAGTGCACTGTTCCATAATTTATAATTTCTAGGTATCTGTGCGTATACAGAAATAGAATCAGATGTTATATACTTTTCAGAAAACTTGTTTTTTACTCACACTGAGAACGTATTTCTATATTATTAAATATTCTCCTACAGCATCACAGATTACATGGCAATTCAACTGCATGGATATTTTAAAGTTGAACTGATATAGGAATTTATTTTGCTTCCAATTTATTATTATTATATATTTTAACAACATAATATGTCAGGATGATTACCATCCTCCTCTAAATAAGTATTTATGTTCACCCTTAATTATTTACACAGGATATATTTCAAATCATGTAATGCTATTATAATTTCAAACTATTTTCAAATTTTTAAGGCTTTTGATACAAATACTATTTTTTTCCAGATCAACTAAACTAATTTACATTTATATCCCTAATATATGAGCATACACATTTCCTAGAACTTTTGAACACACTATAATAATTTAAAAATTATTTTACTATTTAGTAGGCAATTCATAATATATCTCACTATTATTTTGCTTAAACTATATATTTTAAATTTGTATTTCCTTCTGTCTAGTGAGGTTGATTTTTTTTTTAATATGCTTGTTGACCATTTACTTTTATTTTCTTACAATTGCTTTTTCATACTCATTTTGCCATGGAGGTGTCTGCTCAGCCTGGTCTTAAAGTAAATAAAAGGATAAAGAAATGGTTATTAAGGTGTTATTTCTGAATCATGAAGTAGAATCAGGAAAAAACATTCTATGAATTAATGGCATAGCTAGCACAATTCCTGAAAAAATGATAGCACCAGGAAATGACAAGATTCCAAGAGGCTAACTTACAAGAACATTGTTCAACACAAAATTTTCTTCTGCTCTATAATGTTTGCTGAGAATATTCTCAGAGGTCCCTAAGGATCCCAAAATACTGTGTATGTCATATTTCATGTAATCTTATTTAAAGGAGGTTCCATTTAGAACATAATCTGCTCAACTTGTTCAAAGTTCTGGTCTCCCTAAAACACAGCTCAAATTAAAATATAAAATCTAAGTACCTAGTGAAAGAAAGCGCTATATCCACCAGTTGCAAAACCTAATATTCTGTGTTTAAAGTTAGGAATTTCAAATTAATCATTTGTTTAACTAACAAATGGTCCCAAGACACTTTGCAGAAGTTTTCTTATGGGCCAGAATTCTGAAGCGTATCTTAATTCTTGGCCATTTCTCACATAAAACAAATTATTTTATCAAAGATGCCAAATGCTAGTACTTTAGGCTCCAAATACAGGAGGCTTACTTTCACTGAGAGCATTACAATTGATCTCAGACCGCAGTGAGCGGGGCTCAGTAAGTAGAAAGGTAAGGTGATTAATTGTCAAGAGATCTGGGTTCGTGTACTGGCTTCATTTTACTACTGACTTATTTCCCTGGGTAAGTTACTTAGATAAAGTCATACTTTATTTTTCTGTAAATGATATTTATTGTAAAAAGTTATTGTGAGATGAACCAAGTTACAAAATGTGAACTTACCAAATGATCTCAAAAGTTACATATGAGTACAGAAAATGTTATCAGAGCTAGAGTCACCAACTCAAACACCTATAAGGGCCCTACTAACTTCTCAATGCATGAAGTGGATCAACCAGGGCTGTGGGTAATTCTAGTGCTTGTCCCAGTTTGACAGGATTGTGGCAATTATGGCAATAAGATGCCAGTGTTGCCTGACATTTTAATTTTTTCAAAAGAAAAACTATAAATCCTGACTTCATTCATCTTCCACTTTCAAAGTATTGACAGCTAATTAAAATATAAGTCAAAGTAATTTTGTTGGCCAAGTAAGTAATATGTATGGATCAAAGTTGGACCATGACTAGCCAGTCTGTAAACTCTTGTATTGTCTCTGATATACATGGTTAGTAATACTCTCAGACCTCCATGGTGACATCTTTAGTTAAGAGTATTTATTGTACTGAGTGCATCAAATATAGTCCAATCTTACAGTAACCAATTATTTGTAATTATTTCCACGATGAGGGTTTTTCCCTTCAGGTGGCCAATTACTTCCTATCAAATTATCACTGAAAACCATTATTTTCATTTCCATTTGTAGACATCTCAAGACTTTATTTTCCATTTGGTACAAGTAAATGAAAAGGAAATTATAGCAGCCAATGCAATTATGACTGTGATCTTATCTGTCTGGATTGATTAGAAGTCCTTATTCTAATCACCCAAACTCTTTATTAATGTTAAGTTTATTAAAACTTAGGTTCAGATTCAGATTTTTATTAAGGATTTCATTTATATTATCTTTTTTCTTTTATAAGATGATAGGGAATGCAAGATGGAAACCAAAGAAAAACCTAGTTACCAAAGAGACCTGGTCTCCCTGTAACTGGGTTTCACAACACTGATCTCTCTTAAAACCCTTTTACCATTTATCAAAACTCCATCTCTGGTGAATTACAGTGAATTACAGTGGAGTGTTGCTAATTCATACTAATGACTGGGGTACCTAGTACAGATTGAATTCTGAGAACTGGCAACTGAGCAACAAAGGAAAAAAAAAACAATAAATTGAGACCACTGCATTAAAAAATCCTTTGTTCATTTATTTTTTTTCAGTATAAGCTAGTTTTAACTAATTTGGTTAATGTGTCATTGATACTAGTAAAAATTATATCCCTAAATCTCTCCAACATTAAATATTAGTTTAAAAATTAGTTGCAACTTTATTTGGCAGTGAATTGGAATAAAACACTGGCAGAATAGCAAGGCAAGATTTAGATCAGTAGTAAATTTAAATTTACTACATTTCCACTTAATATAATATTCTTCTCTTTTCTTTTCAGCCTTGGAATGAGTACCTGGTATTAAATAGGCTTTCTGATTCTCACACAAGAAAATTGACTAGTACTCTAGGGAAGAGTTGTCCACTGTTAAACACTCAACCTGCTTAAAGGGATGGCAACTGGATGTTCACAAAGAATTACCATAGTTGCCACGTATGCAGGTATCCACGTATTTCCACAGACATCTCCGGATGAAGACCAACCACCCCCATCCCATATTTCCTACCCCCTACCAACCCGCTATATGTTACCCTCCATGTTTCTTGGAGGATAAAGGAAGAAAAACTGGGCAGAATATAGTGAAACTATAATTACCTTTTTTTTAAGTGGTAAACACTGGAAAGCTTCTTATTTTATAAGTCCCATGAACAAAGATTGGTTTCATGCTCTACGTAATTTACTTCTTGAGATGCTGGAAGATGGTTCACATTCTCTCTTACATTTCTTCATTTATTCTTTTAATGAACAGGCTCTATGACAGTATCAACCAAGGTTTACATTTGTTTTCTGTTCTCATCGTGCCCACACAACTTAGCAGAGTTTAATGGCAAGTAGAATCATTCTATAAACACACCTTTAGTGACTGTATGCTTACACCATGCCTGTGGAGTCCCAGGTACTAACGATACAAGACTGTGGGCCTTTCCTTTAGGGAGCTTGCATACTTGAAGGGAAAGAAAAATTATCAAATCGATGTTTCTGTGATACAGCATAAACTCAGATTGCTATGAAAGCACAGAGTAGGGGAAACTAACCCAAGGAGGTGAGGTCATGAGAGGCCTCCAGAGGGAAAAGTTCATGCTGACTCTTGAAAAATCATAAACAATTATCCAGGTAGAGAAGGTTGGAAGTGTTTAGGGAGCTTCACATAGTTCATTGTGGGAACGGGATAAAAAGGGAACCAGAAGGTAGCTAGGAAGCAGTTCAAATGGAGTTTGTATGCCATGTGAGCTGCTTAAGTTTCGTTTTGTTGTCATCAGGAGCAGTATCAAACATGCAACAGAAGGGGCAAAACCAGTGGCAAGGAGCTCAATTAGGAGATTTGCAGGACTCCAGCTGTGATTTGACAAAGTCCTCATGTGATCTGTGGTTGTCACTCCGTATATATTTCCTTTCCTAGTGATCAACAGGATTTCTAGACAACAACCCTTCCACCCACTTACAGTTTCCAGATTGGGTGAGATGATTTCATCCTCAGCTCCAAGGGTGATTCTTAATTAGCTTAAGTCAATCAGCGAAGTCCACAGCAAAGCCATAGTAATTGGATTGGGAATAAGCATGAGATTCAAGTGGTACAAAGGAGGCTGGAGAGTATCTGAGCTGGGCATTGAGGAGAGAATCTCCTTTGCTCTCTGGGAGAAACGCTGAGAGGGGTATTCTCTCTTCCTGAAGGAGGAAACACACAGGTTGGATGCTGCTGGTCACCATACTGTGAACAAGAAGAAAATCGGTCAACACTACACAGAACAAATATAGAAAAATTAATGTAGCAAACCTTACATTAAGCCTATGCTAATTTGGGACCTTCATGCTATCCATAATTATGAGGATTTCTTTTTATCATTCATGTAATTCAATGTTATTGTTTCTGTAATTTGGGCACTTTCGTTCCTGGAATTACCTCAACTGCTAAAAACCTGGCTGTTGGCAGTGATGATCAGAATAAAGGCAGGATTAGATAACCTCTTCCAGTCTTTTTCTTCTGTGATTTCCTTTCACCCTTAGTTTATCAAGAAGATAGTTGTTAACAGCAAGCTGATGACTGACAAAAAATGGCAAGAACATCACAAGAGTCAAATTACTCCTCCTCAGTCCCTGACAGCTCTTCTCCCCTCTCTGTTGCCTGCCTGCCTTTGGCTGCCAAGAATTTGCTGTTTGTTTCTCACTTCCCTCATCCAATCCATACTGAGAAGATAATGTGCCCAGCTAGCTCCAGAACAGAAAACTGAATATCGGCACATATTTTGCCTTGAATGAAAATAACCTACCAGTGCAGAGTGGCCTCTGCTATCCAGGGCTGCGGCTGTACTGGGTTCAGTGGTTAATTCTTCAGCCTTTTAGCTCTGGGATTTTAGCTAATGGCTTTAGGGTTTTGCACAAGCCCCGTGCCCATGGTTTTAAAGTTACCACTGTGGATGAGAGCTTGTCATGTTGTATAATATTACAGTTATTCCAAAGCAGCTTTCTGGCTAAGTGACAGCATTTGACATGTCTCTAATATTGACAGTAGTGGTGACTTTCAAGTGTTCTATTTATGTCAGGTAGAAGGGGAGTAGAGGTTTTTAAATAAAATAAACATGTGCAAAGAAAACTTCTGGTTTAGTACAATAAAAATGTCAAAACAGTCTGAATACCTGCTCTGCTATTTTCTTGCCATGGACTCTGGGGCAAGTTTAAAAGATACAGTATCTCTGTCTAAAATGGTAATAATGATGGCGCGTACTCTGAAAGGCCATGGTTGTATAATCCAATGTCTCTAAGGTGCCTTATGTGATGCCAGGCTCATGCCCGTCACAGACATTTAATAATGGTACATACATTAGTTGTTATCCCTGCCATGCCCATAAACTTTTTAAAGTAAACTGCTTCAACCAAGCACTGAACTCCAGCAATTCTTAGGGAACATTGTTTCCACCATAAAGCTTAGATGATTGAATGATTGGCAGCCACACTTCACATGTGGCCTATGAGGTGGCCGAGAAATTATGACCTGGGCTGGTGTCAAAATGTGAATAGAGTCCAAGAGCCTGACAAACTTTTGCTTGAGTCCTGAAAGAATCAGAAAGAATTTATAGAGAGAAGTAATAATAGAGGGTCAAGGCATGAGCAATCACTGAGGTTATGAGGAATGAGAATATAAGCAAAGTGGGCAAGTTCAGAGAGATTTATAGAGAGAAAAAGTAAGTGAGTTTATGGTGAGAGAAGCAGACAGACCCAGAGAAAAGCAGACATATTTAGAAAGGCTGAGTCACATGAATGGCAAAGCATAAGATTAAAGCTACCCACCTTTCTGTTGAAGTCTTTGCTACTTCCAGTAGATCATCTAGCGGCAGGATGGTCCAGGAGGAGTCTGTATGGTGGAACTGTGAATGGCACAGCTTGGGAATAAGAGTAGCTGGGCTCAAGTTTTGGCTCTGTCATTTACTAGCTGTGTCACTAGGGGAAGTTTCTCAATCTTTCCATGACTATAAAATGGGGAAAACCATGAAACCTACTATTGGAGCCATTATGAAGATTAAACAAGTTAGTACATGTGGCTTAGTATCATAATGGAACATAGTAATTTTTCAATAAATGGTTGTTAGCCATTATTAACTGCCGTCAACTATACATCAATAGCCATAAAACTGACATACACATTAGCCCCTCAGCTCCAACATAACTCCTGTTTCCCTTATGTCCAAATGCATCTCATAATTAATATTGTTGTTAACCAAAACATTTTAAGTAAATATGTATTATCATTTTTATTTGAAGAAGAGCATGAAATAAGAGAGACAAAAAAAAAAAAAAAAGATTAGGCTGGGTGTGGGGGCTCACGCCTGTAATCCCAGTGTTTTGGGAGGCCAAGGCAGGAAGATCACTTGAGTTCAGAAGTCCAAAACATGCCTAGGTAATGTAGTGACCCTGTTTTGAAAAATTAGCCACGTGTGGTGACACATGCCTGTGGCCTTAGCTACTCTGGGGACTGAGGTGGGAGGATCACTGGAGCCCTGGAGTTTGAGGCTGCAGTGAGCTAGGACTGCTCTACTGCATTGCAGCCTGGGCAAAACAGCAAGATCCTGGAAAGGAAAGGGAAAGGGAAAGGGGCAAGGCAGGGCGGGGTGGGGCGGGGAGAGGCAAGGCGAGGCAAGGCAAGAAAGAAAAAGAAAGAAAGAAAAAGGGGAGATTAAATGTTGAAATAGCAATACATTACATGCAATAATATTTACCTTAAAAATTTTTTTGCCCCAATAATTTTTTTGAATATTTTTATTTATGTGTCATGTTTTATCAGCCTCCTGAGTAGCTGAAACTACAGATGCATACCATCATCCAGGGTTTGTTTTGTTTTGTTTTGTTTTGTTTTGATGGAATCTTGCTTTGTTGTCCAGGCTGGTCCCAAGAATTATTTGGTGCAATTCATTCATTTATTTGTATATTTATTCACTTTACAAATAAGTATTGAATTCACAGTATGCTGAAGTGCAATTAAAAAAAAAAAAAGTAGTCCCTGTACTTGTTCAGTTTTAAGGTCTTGTGACTGCAAACAAATGATAAGGAAGGATTTGAAAGTTGAAATCAAAAGATGAAAAACCTGCTTACTCCCTCACCTCATTTAGACAGTGACTCAAAAGTGAGTTCTTGTGTAACCAGCCATATTAGTCAGGATAAGCTAGGTAACATGGTGGTAACAAATTAACACCCAATTACTGGCTTAACACAACAAATATATATTTCTTGCTCATATTGTATTACATGTTTACAGTGGGCTTGTCAGGCGGACGGTTTTCCACACAATCACTGAGGGAGTCAGGTTGATGAAGGCTCTGCCATCTTTTACTGGCACTATTAGAGCACATGGCCAGCCTTCTTGTTACAGTGACAGAACAGCCATGAGGAATGCATAGGCACTCTTCAATGCCCTAAACGGAAGTGACCACATCACTTTGACTATAGATCCATTGGCCAAACCTAGTAATATAGCCCCATCTCACTGCAAGGGACTGGGAATTTTAGGGTGCCAAGGTGCACAGGGCACATGTAATCTGTGACTATTTCAATTAAACTAGAGAGCCAGCCCTAACCCTTTCTATCCCTGCCCCCGATTTATGTTTCTCTTTAGCTTGTATTCCCATTTTACATGTTAATTTGAGACTCTCTCTCCTAAATAGAATGTAAACTCTAAGCAGGAAAGCATTCTTATTTATTTTATACTTTCATACATCCCTAGCACCTAAAACAATGCTTGGCACAGAGATGGGCACTTAATAAATATCTGCTATATAAATGAATAAATAAAACTTTGTAGTGGCAACATAAGTGGTAAAGAGCATAAAAAAGACCCTGAGACAGGAAGGAACTTGTCTTGTTCAAGCAAGAGGAAAAAAAAAAGAAAAAACAGACTGGCTAGAACAGAATGGTAAGAAAAAAAAAAATGTCGCCCAATATTAATATGCATTTTCTTTAAGGCTTACAAGAAACTTTAAAGTAAGAATTGTGATATTCCTGGGATTTAAAAAACTAAATCTTGGAAAAGTTAGCTAACATTCCCAAAGACAGACAGCTAGCGAAGTGAAGAACCAAAATTCATCTATGCAATTTTTACTCTCCCAGAAAAGGGGTACTTGTCTGGCTGATTCAAACTAACCTATAGCTGCCAGGAAACCAGATCCATAAAGTAATTGTTATGTGACCAACTAAGAATAATATCTGCATGCCTATCCATTTCGGTACCTCCTTTTAGTAATGCCTGATTGGGTCCACATGGTAAAATTATGTTCAGTTACTAATTTCTGATAACTTCTACATGTACCCCATGATACACACTAAGGAGAGGTAAAAGCTTAATATTGAAACTCAGGGGCTTGATTTCAAATTAGTTGTTTGAACCCAGTAAGATAAACCACTTGATTATAAAAATTAGGGAAAACTGAAAATCACTCAAAATTAGACAAAACTGAAAATCACCCACAATTAGCGTGAGTGCTAAGAAGAGAAACAAGAAGCTACAAAACCAATGAGGGGAAATTTCACCCTCAGACCATTCATTACTCACAAGGAAACACTCATAACCCTTTGTAAACTTTCCAGAAGGCATCATCCAGAAGTAAAACCTGAATTTGGGTACTGGATACCACAGCTGCATCGGTCTTTGACATTTTGGTCTAGCTCCTATATAAAAAACAGGAAAATAAAGGTGCTCGACACAAAAGTAAGGATTAAATTGGAATAATGTATTTGAAGAGATTAGGAAAGTTCCTGGCCCAAAGTTAAGTTGTCTGCCTTCAAAAATTGTATCAGAGGAAATCCCTCAAACATTGAGAAATGTTTTATATAACTCCATTTGAAATGTCAAAAAAAGCAAAAATCAAAATTCACTTTTCCAAAGCCCTTTTCATGTGCGTGTGGCCTGCTCTCCCCCAGTAGGATGCATCTTCTAGGGACTTCTACCAGGAAGTAGCTGGGACAGTGAAGAGTCTACTCAACATCCAGCTTACATGTGCCCAAGGCCAGAGGCAAAAGTAGAATGATGATGGCATCCAGTATTCAGTGTGAATGAGAGCAATATCCTTATAAATGGATGGCCCAAAGTGAAATTTTCTGCTGCTATCTTGATGACTTTCTGAGGTTCATTTGCAGTATTTTTTAATTAAGTTATTTATATGTTTCAATCTAACAGAGTCATTTTCATTGCTTACAACTAAGAAACCTGAGTATTACAACATTCAGATATTAATAACCAAGTGTGACTCCAGCAAGGAGGTAACACAATAAAATCTATGAAAGATGACAGATCATAAATCGGTAGCAAGGTAGGTAGGTAGGTAGATGGATGGGTGGATAGATAGATGATAGATAAATAGATAGATGATAGATAGATTGGATAGATAGACGATAGATGGACAGAAATAATAGCTAACATTTATTATATAATTACTATAGGCCAGGAACTTTCCTAATCACTTCAAATATATTATTCCAATTTAAACCTTACATTTGTGTGAGCGCCTTTATTTTCCTGTTTTTCAGATGAGCAAACTGAGATGAAGAGAGGATAAACAAACTGCTGAAGAGCACAGAGCCAGTATGGTAGATTATTGTTCCTCAAACATTCACCCCTTTTTCTCCAACCCACCCTTCCCTTGGAAGATTGTCCCTCCCTGTTCCACTGATGTTGAACTTGGTCATGATACTTGATTTCGTCTCATAGAAAGTTGAGTGCATGTGTCCTTATTTTAGGAATGTGTGACTTGTGACATAAGCAAAGTGTGAAGAAGCTTGCTTGTGGTTGGACTTTCACTCTTGCACTTCTATCTTCACTATTAAAAGAATATGACCCAAGCAGCCTGCCAATCTCAGAAGGATGAAAGGCAAATGCAGTACACCTGAACTGAACCAGTGGCCTGATACCGAGTACAGATGAGCACAGCCTTTATCAGCTAAACCTTGGCTGTCTCACAGATATCTGAGTAGGCAAACGATTCTATTTTTGGCATGCTTCTGAGTTTGGGAGTGATTTGTTACTCAGCATTGTTGTGGCAATAGCTAACTGATGCAGCTAGTAAACCATGCAACAAGGATGCAAACCCAGGCAATTTGACTCTTCTATCTCCTTCCTAATTACTTTGCTGTATTACGTTCCCTGCTAGGTCTGACAGTTTACACCAAATAAACACGAAGTGTTAGTGCACCCCAATCTCTGACACCTCTGCAGGTATAAGAAAATTTATCTGCTAGAAATGTCTGTGATGGTGTCTCCATCTTTCTCTGACCACAGCCATATTTCAGTACATTAGCCTTGCTCTGTGTGGTTTGCGTCTCTGCTTTGTCTCACAGTGGTATCCGAAGGCAATGTTTCCTGATGTCAGTGCCAATGTACATAGCACAAAGATTCTCAAACTCTTGTACAGCAATATCTTGAAATTCTGTCTTTAACTCATGAAGCCCAGCAACAAAATCTTAATTTCCTTTCCTGTTTCTTCTGTTTCTGTTCTGAATTCCCATTTCACAAAGCCAAGAGAAATGAGAAGTACATGGGGTGAGAGTTCTTATAAATAACTTGTGGTGGTTCCTAAATAGCTCTGATGCCTAATTATACTTCTAGTGATTGAGAGGTTTTTATCCCCTTTGGTTTAGAAAGCACATCTGTGCCAAACACTCACACTCTCTAAACACGGTTTTTCCCATGACTTCAAAACTCTTCCCATTATAACTGTTTCTTGCCTGTTCCTTAGATGTTATTACATGGCCAAAGCACAGCCTTCTCCTGCCTGGTCTTACGTACATCTCTAACATGCCACGTCACCACTGCCCAAAGATTTACATCAGCACATATACCTCACATCTCCTTCCATTCTACTGACATTGTGTAACCAAGGACAAGATGATCAGATGAAGGCAGCTGACCTTGCCTGGTAGTTGTCTGAAGTAAGAGATGCAAGACACAGTTGATGATGTTTGAACATCAATGCTGATAACCACCGTCCATTTAATAGCCTGTCATTCATGTATTTGTAGAAGAAAGGAAAAAAATCTATAACTAGTTTGCCTCATCTATAACTGGTTTGCCTTGCTTGAAAGTATAATGTTAGTTAACCCTAAAGAAGAAAGGAGTTTTGAATTCCTGAGAGTGGCACTTGGGTATGGTATGAACTGGATCCTTCATGCTTCTACTTTTCAGGTAATCCATATGATTTATTGCCCAGAAGGATAGGGTGTGCTGAGTCAAATGAGGTACAAGTGGATCCTGCTCCTCTCAGCTAAAGAGGAACAAACTGGAACTGAGTCTTTCCTGTTCTTGCTACTTACAGAAAGTCTTTGCTCAGAGAGCTTCCTGATCTGTGTCTTGACAGCATGACTTTGCCCCATAGATCCTAAGGGTATGAGAGCAAGGAGACAACAAACCAGATAGAATCACCCCCATGGATCAGTGATACCGAACCCAGGCTGGTCCCAGACAGAAGAGAAAATTGCCCAATAAAATCCTGATCTAACTCGGGATTTACAAAGTACAGAGGATGGGAACCTTGGGTCCAGGAAACAAAGTTAAAAACCACCCAGTGACAGGACCTCCATCTCCTGCCATGGATAAAACCTCATTGAGACAGTCATTTGTGTAAGTAAATGCACTTTACAGAGCCACACACAAAGTTCTAGGTTTCTTGTACTGTTGAAATTATTTTAAAGACTAGGCAGGATCTCTAAAAACACCTCGTAAGAAGGAAAGAGGTGAATATACTAGGTAGTGTTAATGTGAAAGTAATCTGAGGCTCAGAGATGCATAAAATGTTTAAAAACAACATCCTCTTCCCATGTAGAAAAAGTGGATTAAAAGAGTCCCTTTACTCTTTCTATCCTCAAATACCTAGAGACATCATATGTAAGATTCTATTAACCTCACAGAACATCAAAATCAAATCATTAGGGGAAGACAACTGAACTTGTCTGGTTGCCACCTGCAGTGAAATAAGTGATGAAAGTCTATGAGTAATTCCTAGAACTCAAGAATCTCAGTAGTTTCGGGTTTTGTTTTTCCTTCTAATCAGGATTCAGTATTCTCAATAAGAAAAGAATTGAAGGTAGAAATTCTGGGTTCTAGTCCCAGATGTCACTTACTAACTGTACAACTTTGGTCAAGTCTCTTTACCTTTCTACTTCTCAGCTACTCTGTCTTTAATGGGAATAATACCCTTTGTTCCTTCTACCCAAAAGGACATCCACTAACTGGCACCTCTGTAACATTTTCAACTTCACAACGTACTTTCAACACAGCCCCTTACTTGCTCCTTATATAAACTCTCTGGGAGAAGTTGATTAATGGTAACTCTTCACACCCCAGCTTCCCACTGCATGGATCCAAAAACTAAGAAGCCAGGAAATGAAGGGATTCCCCAAGCAGTGAGTTGGGATTCACACCTCATATTCAAATTCTAAATCCATTGTTTTTTTTCCCTTTATACCACAAAAGCATTTGTAAAATGTAAATGTATTTCAGCATTGCAATCTGGCTTCTGAAAGGGAAACATTGGTAGAGGTATTATAATTATCCCAAACTCCATTTTCCTGTTTGCTATGTCAAGATGGAAAACAGGTTTTATTGTAAGTGCATGAATAGCCCCACGGCAGCAAAACAAAAGGAGGCTGCACAGCCCAACACAGCAGGGATACCACTGGAGGAGAAACAGCAGCAGAGCACTGCTCCAAAGAGTGGGTAAAGGGCAGTGAGAAGGTTCTAGAACGCATGCTTCACCTGAACATCTGCACCCTCACTCTTAAATGGCAAAGCACCCACCGTGTCAGGAAGAAAACCATTAGACCAAGGAGATGAGCCTAGTTAGTGCTAAGGGGACACATCATCTTAAAGAAAAGACACTGCCAGGTTATGGAGACTGAGGCAGTTTCTAGAATCGAGGACTTTAAAGGCCAAGTCAGACTATGTGATGGTCAATGGGAGATCCTTTGGATCAACCCCATCTTGCTGACAAAGTTGACGACGAATTCCATGATGTCACATAATAGGGGCAAGTAGTAGGAGTAAGGAGGTTTTGGAGAATGGAGAAACTTTAGCCAAAGGTTAGCTAGAAAAGGGAAGATACAGATCCACGTGATCCTCTCATTATCCTGCAGAGTTGGGCCAGGACCAGGACATGGCTGTGCATGCAGTGTGAGTCTCCATTCCATGGAAGTGACCATGCGCCACTCCTTACTCCCTACTGTATGGGCAAGTGTAAGAAAGCAATCCTGTCTGTGGAAAACGTACAGGCTGCTTGGCATCCACCAGTCTGGATGTGAGTATCAGCCCTTTATAGGCATTCTCTGCACCTGGAGTCTCTAGCACCATGAGAAGTATAGTTCCCTTACTGGAGAGGAGGAGGCCCTGGATCAGGGAAAGCCAAACTTGGATGCAATTCCTTCCACTAGGGAAAACACTGTGGAAGGAGAAGCTGGCCCCACTATCTCTTTGTCCAAGCATTCCAGAGTAAGGACCCAGGGTCACTTTCCAACAATTCAATTTCTCTGAAACCACACTGTTTCACCAGCCTAGTGTCTCCGCAGCGTGTTAGAGAAAAAAAGTGTCTAGGCAAAGATAACCCTGCAAAGCGGAGGAAATCTCCTCAATACAGATTATTAACTAAAATAAAACCTGAATCTGAGTTGTCTTTTATTAAAAACATTGAAATGTAATTAATAGTGATTTTTGTTTTTTGCATTTTTTTTTCCCTTGCTGCTTAAAAAAAAATATTCCAAGGCTGCATTCCATAAAGGCATTTCATTAACCAGTCAAATTTAAGTGACTTAATTGATGTAGTTAGAGCATTAACTTTCCTGATAAAAAATAAAATGACTCAGGGCAAACACACTGTCATATTGTTATTATTTAACATGGACTGCAAAGCCCTAGCACAGGAGTTGCTGCCTAGCACACAGTTAGACACGGTCCATGTCCCAGGGGCATGCAATCCCAGCAAGGTTGTTATATGGTATTCATTGCAATTTGATGAACTTCATTTATCTAGACAGCCACTTATTTAGGATGAATTGGAACCTACTGAATCATCTTAATTCAGAGGCTTCTACTGCACCATGGGTCTGCAGCAGCTATTAAACTTGGGAAGATTTGGCAGCCATGACACAATGAATGTATTATTCCTGCAGAATGATCTGGGTATGATGAATCATCAGCTTCATGGACAGGTGTTGGGTGATACCTGCTATCACCTTCCTTCCCCTTTAGGTTTTTAAGTATGATATCAGTACTGCAGTCACTGTTACTCATCTTCCCCAATAAAGAAGTTATCTGTCACAGATGATGCTATTTCCCCAATAGAACAATCATTCAATTCTTGGGGAAAAAAAAAATCACACAGCCTGAAACCCTGGTACAAGATGAGGGTTCCCCTAGGCACTGAGTTCTCTGAAGCGATGAGTTAATGAGGAGAGAAGAGTTCTTTCTGCAATGGATACAGCCACTTTATGGCATTCTATTACTAATTGAGAGTAGGAACTCCCATAAACTATACATAGAGGATTTATTTGGGTTATTTACAAGGCCAAGGGAGGAAACATGCAAATAGAAAGACTTGCATATAGAATGAATCCAATTGCTGAACAACTGTAAATTCTATTTACGGACAGAGGGCTTTTTCAAAGACAGGTGATATGTAAGATTTGAGTACAATCTTAAGGTTATAACTCCCAAAATTCTTGACTGCTCTCTAAATTCAGGACCACAGACTCTTGCAACGTGTAGACCAAGTCTATATTTATATTGTCTTTAATGATGAAGCGTAGGGCTTGGGAATTAAAATGAAACAGTTTGGTCTTATTCCAAAAAGTCACAGCAAGTTCCAATATCTCAGACTTGAATAAACACTAAAGGCATTTTATCAGTCAGGGTTCTCCAGAGAAGCAAAACAAATAGGATACATACATACATACATACATATCTACATACATAGATACTTGATTTATTTTTAAGCAATTGGCTATGCGTGATTGGGTGGGCTGGCATGTCTGGAATCTGCAGGGCAGCTTGGTGGGCAAGAAACTCAGACAAGATTTTCTGTTACCTTTTTGAAGCAGAATTCTTTGTCTCTGGGAAACTTGCTTCTGTTCTTCTGGCCTTCAATGGGTTGGATGAGGTCCACTCACATTACTGCTGTTCTCTTTTAAAGTCAACTCTAGATGTTTATCTCATCGGCAAAATACCTTCACAGTCATCTTGATGAGTGTTTGATCAATTGGGCACCATGACCTAGCAAAGTTGACACATAAAATTTAACCATCACAGGCATCACCTCTGTTTGTCAATGTTTATGCTATGAATGTCAGCAAACACTATTTCTTAAGTTGGCACATACAAAACCAGTAGGATTTGCATTCTGTAAAACAGAATCATCCAAGTTTTTAAAAAAAATTTTTTTGTTTTTTTTTTGCTGGTTACAGCTCAAACTAAAAGTTCTTTGGAATTTGAATATGCTACACCTTTTTTGTGCCAATGGCAATTATTTTGTTGAAAAATATTTCTTATGTTTCTATAAACTCAGTATTTGCAAATTATGGCCCACAGCTAACTGACCTATCACCTGGTTTTGCATAGCCCATGAACAAAGTATGAGTTTTACATTTTTAAATGCTTACATTATAAATGGAGATGCAAGGAACTGTACATTCGAAAATGGGTGTGTAGTTACAACACACATGCACACAAAAGTTATGTAATTATCTACATAATATTATCCTGCATTTTGCCACTTGGCCCTCAAATGTTAAATTTTTACTCTCTGTCCCTCTAAAAAATGTTTGCCAATGCTTGTTATAAATCGAATATTTTCTTATTGGAGAAGTCCTAAGCACCCCTTCTAGCTATAGGGAGCATTATTGTATTGTAAAGGGTTCCTTTAATTCCTTTCTCTTTTTTTTTGTTTTGTTTTGTTTTGTTTTGTTTTGTTTTGTTTTTGAAACAGTGTCTCATTCTGTCACCCAGGCTGTAGTGTAGTTAGCGGAATCATGGCTCACTGCAGCCTTGATGGCCTGAGCTCCAGTGATCCTCCCACCTCAGCCTCCCAAAGTGCTAGGATTACAGACATGAGCCACTGTGCTGACCCTATTTCCTTTCTTAATATCATAATTCCTCAGTAAGCACTACAAATACAACCTTTAAAACTTAAACTCATCTTGATTAACTAAACTTTAAGGAAATGAGCTTTAGTATTTAGTGAAAGAAACTTCATTTAAAGCTAATAAAATCAGTCAGGCAGTGGATTTGCAAGACCTGCCTAATTTGGCATTGCCCTTTTCTCCACTTCATCTCCTATGCCTGTCCCCTTCCCTCATTCCACTCCAGCCGTCCTGACCTCTCTCTTTTTTTTTTTTTTTTTTTTTGAGATGGAGTCTCACTCAGTTGCCCAGGCTGGAGTGTAGTGATGTGATCATGACTCACTGTAACCTCTGCCTCCCAGGTTCAAGCAATTCTCTTGCCTCTGCCTCCTGAGTAGCTGGGATTACAGGTGTGCACTACCATGCCATGCTAATTTTTGTATTTTTAGTAGAGACGGGCTTTTGCCATGTTGGCCAGGCTGGTCTTGAACTCCTGACCTCGGGTGATCCACCTGCCTCGGCCTCCCAAAGTCCTGGCCTTCTTTTTGTTCCTGGAATACTTCTACCTTGTTCCTACCTGAAGCCTGTACACTTGCTATTCCCTCTTCCTAGAACACAATCCCCACAGAACATCCCAAAGCTGGCTGCTTCTTATCATGCAGACGTAAACTCTAATGTTACATACTGAGACAGGCCATCCCTGACCATGCTTCTAACCCACACTCTCCATTCTTATCTCTACCTTACTACTCTATTCTATTTTGCATATAACACTGTCCAGAATAATCTATAGATTAGTATATTTCTCACCAGTAAAATGACAGCTCTGAGAGAGCAAGAGCTGTCTGTCTTGCTCATGACTGTAGTCCAGTATCTAGAACATCCCAGGGTCCACAGAACGTGTTTCTTCTATATTTGTGGACTTTGCAAATGGACAGACACAACATGCGATGAGTCATCTTAGTGATTACTCTTCCAATTAAGTTACCATTGGAACAACAGTGGCCTGGAAGTTATTTAACTTGACTATTCATTCTTTTACCTAAAGTGCTTTCAGCTTCCAAACCTGTCTCAGGCCATATACTAGGTGGTGTGGATACAACAGTTAAGAAAAACAAAATGAGCCCCTGCACTCAGGGATCTCACAAAATAATACAGTAGCAACAGAGGAGTTTGAGGATAATGCCATGCTCCAGTGATACTAGAAAACATGTTTTGTATATGTCATTGAGTGTGTCTTTTCTCACCTCAAATACTTCTTTTTTTTTTTTTTTTTTTTTTTTTTTTTTTTTTTTTTGAGACAGAGTCTTTCTCTGTAACCCAGGTTGGAGTGCAGTGGTGCGATCTCAGCTCACTGCAGCCTCCACCTCCCAGGTTCAAGCACTTCTCTGCCTCAGGCTCCCAAGTAGCTGGGATTACAGGTGCCCACCACCACGCCCGGCTAATTTTTGTATTTTTAGTAGAGATGGAGTTTCACCATCTTGGCCAGCCTGGTCTTGAACTCCTGACTTCGTGATCCACTCGCCTCGGCCTCCCAAAGTGCTGGGATTACAGGTGTGGGCCACGGTCCCCGGCCTTCAAACTCTTTTAAATCAGTATTTTCTAGCTTTAATGCATCTGAGCATTGACATGTGGTTCTTTTAATAGGCAAGGCTTTAATACCACATCAATGTTGACAAGATGAAATTATAAATATTTAAGCTAAAACTTAAAATAAAGACAAGAAATTATCCTGTGCACTACAAAACACAATATAGAAAGGAATTTGTTCACAACATTCAAAAACATTGATCCTCTGACTTTATGCCTACTAGTTTGATGCTACAGATGAAAAATTTCTAAAGATATATATATGATGCTTTATCAGTTCAGATTTCTAACATTCATATATTACAGCTCTTTTTAGTCAGAAAGGGGATATTTAACATGCCTTTATTTACATCTTCCTTTTTATGCTTCTTTTTTGTTTATTTGTTTTCAGACGGAGTCTCACTCTGTCGCCCAGGCTGCAGTGCAATAGCAGGATCTCAGCTCACTGCAAGCTCCGCCTCCAGGATTCATGCCATTCTCCTGCCTCAGTCTCCCGAGTAGCTGGGATTAAAGGCGCCCACCACCACGCCCAGCTAATTTTTTCTATTTTTTAGTAGAAACAGGGTTTCACCATGTTAGCCGGGATGGTCTCGGTCTCCTGACCTTGTGATCCGCCCGCCTCAGCCTCCCAAAGTGCTGGGATTACAGGCTTGAGCCACTGCACCCGGCTGCAAATTTTCTTACTAAATTTACTAGGAAGCAAATAAGAGAGAGGCCCTCCAATTCCCCTTTAATTGTGTGTGTGTGTGTGTTTAGAAGAATATATTCCAAGAAAAAATGTCAAGGAACAACCATACAGATATTGGCGGGGACATGAAGAAAGATTTATCAGGTAAGACTTGATGTTTTTTTCCATTTAAATGCACTTTTGCTGAGTTAAAAATGCAAAATTCTCCATGAAGAAAACCGACACATAAACTACAATATGTAGATCCAGTGTCTCTGCATCGCTTTTTCGTTCTTGTTTTGAGATGTTACTGGACTCCTTGCCAAGTTTTGCTGTTGTTCTTTCTTCTTGAGATAGAGACCCTGGGTTGTGGAGTTTTTAAAATCATATATGGCAGCGCTCTCCAAATGTTTTGGCACCAGGGACCAAGGTTTCGTGGAAGACAATTTTTCCACAAATTGGAGGGGTGGTTTCAGGATGATTCAGCACATTACACTTATTGTGCACTTCATTTCTATTATTATTACATTGTAATGTATAACAAAATAATTATACAACTCACTATAATGTAGAATCAGTGAGAGTCCTGAAGTTGTTTTCCTGCAACTAGACAGTCCCATATGGGGGTGATGGGAGACAGAACAGATCATCATGCATTAGCTTCTCATAAGGAGCACACAACCTAGGACCCTCACATGCACAGTTCACAATAGGGTTCACGCTCCTGTGAGAGTCTAATGCTGTTGCTGATTTGACAGGAAGCAGAACTCAGGCAGTACTGCCAGTGATGGGGAGCAACTGCAACTACACAGGAAGCTTCACTTGCTCGATTGCCACTCACCTCCAGCATGTGGCCCAGTTCCTAACAGGCTGTGGTCCGGTACCAGTGCCTGGCCCAGGGCTTGGGGATCCCTGATATATGGAACCAGGTCATGGTTAAACTGTAAAGTATGTTCTTAAAAAGAAGCATAGGCTAGGTGCAGTGGCTCACACACTGCACTCCAGCCCAGGCGACAAAGTGAGACTCGGTCTCAAAAAAAAAAAAAAAGAAAAAAGAAAAAAGAAAATTGCATGTAAACCAGGCCTTAACGTAATGTTCGTAATGCTGAGAATTTCTTTGTTTGAATTACTTTTTCTGTCATCGAGACTGAAAGTGAGAACTGCACATAGATAGCTATCATGAAACCAATAATCAGGAGACCTGCTTCATCTTTGTCACTAAAAATCTTTGATCTTGAATAAGTGGCATTAGTTCCTTGATCCTCAGTTTCCTCATCTGGAAAATGAAGATATCTTATTATATCATTTCCAATCTCTCATTTCCAATTCTGCATTCCACTATAAATTCGCATATGTTTATAAGCACCGTCAATTATAAGCAGTGAAACAAAAAATTAACCAGGACTTTTTCTGGAATTTCAAGATTGAAGTGTATACATACACTTCATATAGTGTACACAATTGAACACTATAAATGTATGTTGCTTATGGTACATCGACTCTACCTTAAGAAAGCTCTGAGGTTAAACAAAAAAAGCATGACACTTTAGGTTATTATCTAAGAAGAACTAACAGCATTTTGGGGAGGAAAATAAGAATAACATACATTTGTTTTTTCTTTTTAACTGCCTCTTGGACAAGTAAAGAATCAAAATGACCCCTTTAAGTGTACAATCACTCTTATTGAACAGCACTAAGTAGCCTTGTCTACACAAATAAATGGCATTGAGACAAAACCCCTGCTGGCAGAATTGTATTTACCTATTTCATTATTGTTGTTGTTGTTAATTTTACAGACAGGATCTTGCTCTGTTGCCCAGGCTGGAGTGCAGTGGCTTGACCACAGCTCACTGCAGCCTCTAGCTACTGGGCTCAAGGGATCCTCTTGTTATAGCCTCCTGAGTAGCCGGGATTACAGGCATGTACCATCATGCTCAGCTAATTTTTGTAACTTTTTTAGAGACAAGGATTCACTATGTTGGCCAGGCTAGCTGTATTGTTATTTTTTAATAAACTTGAATTCTGCCAGTGGGTAGATATTCATCGTTTTCAAAATAGCCCGTGGTTTGATCTCTACCTCCTCATCTCCCCCTGCCCTTCCCAGCTGGGTGGAAGCTGAGGCAGAGTCTCTGCTACCAGCTGGTGAGTGGAGGAAGGCAGATCTATTTACCTGCCAAGAAAGGCCTAGAATAAGAATGATATTTAGCTGCGCCACCTACAAACACACACAGGTTACAGTGAAAACAATCCAGCCAAACTGAAATACAAAATAAATTTCTCTAAATTCTACCATATTTTGATAGATAAATTCAATGAAACCAATTAATAGAGGGTCAGGCAACTTTAGCGAAAATGAAGAGAAAGAAAAAAATACAGGATGGAGAGAAAACAAAAGAAAAAATAGAAACACAGGAAAAGGGGGAAAGTTCTAGTTTACAGTTTTAGGGTCAAAATGTATGCTTTTTTTTTTTTCCATTTATTTATGTATTTATTGAGATGGAGTCTCGCCGTGTCACCCAGGCTGGAGTGCAGTGGCACGATCTCGGCTCACTGCAACCTCCACCTCCCAGGTTCAAGCCATTCTCCTGCCTCAGCCTCCCAAGTAGCTGGGACTACAGGCGCATCCCCCACCCCTGCCACCACCACACCCCGCCCAGCTAATTTTTTGTATTTTTAATAGAGACGGAGGTTTCACTGTATTGGCCAGGATGGTCTCAAACTCCTGACCTCGTGATCTGCCCGCCTCAACCTCCCAAAGTGCTAGGATTACAGGCCTGAGCCACTGCACCTGGCCAATTTATGCTTTCTTGCATTTTATTTTAAAAATCCCTTCTAGAATTCCCAAGCAAAATCTATGCCAACATGCCAACTCTGTGACTGCAGACAGGAAAAGAGAGAAATGAAGTAACTATGCAGATACTGAAGAACAGTCTTTACTGATCATCAAGGAAGTTAAAGCAAATTATTTTCCTTTACCTTGAATTATCCAGAAAATCATCTCCCTGCTTTACTCCTCATTGTGTTGTAAACAAAGCTTAAACCAAATGAAAAGTTGGTCGAGTTATTTGTAATTCTTTCATCTGTCTGCATAACTCAAGCAAAAAAAAAAAAAAAAAAAGCAAAAAACAAAAATCCTCTGAATTACACACTACCCACAAATTTGCAGATTTGTGGACCTTGCATTGGGGAATTTCATGAAATAGAAGAGAAGAGAATGAGGTGTGTCTATGAGAAGTAGATAACATAAAAATGCTTTGTAGCATTTCCCTATGTCTTTTGTGAATGGTTGGAGATGTTTTATATAAGGTTCTGCTTCCATTAACACTTAGGCACTGTTCCCTTGCTCAACACTGAAATGACATTCTAAATGGCATGTTTGTGTATTATAACCAGGTCCCAATTTCTTCTCCCTTCTTGCATCTCACATCAACAGCAGGACAGGCAAAAGACTGGCCCAGACAATGCCAAAGCAATGGAAAAATGCCTTTAGTTATTATTACCAGAGTAAATGAAGAAACTGCACACCAGATGGGTGTATATTATCTATCCAACTAAAAAAGTGTCTTGTTAACAGAGATAAATGGTCTGAAATGGCAGAACATTTTCTTGCAATTTTAAAAAATAATAGCAGCAATATTTCAGAGGATAATTCTGCAATTTTTTCAAGGTTTCTGTTAAAAACCACATTTGATATTGATAGATACATGCTTAAAGTGTTCATTGGCACATTCATAAATATGTGAAGTTGAAAGGTATTTTTTTTTTTAAATCCCAACTACAGTCATCTCTCTTGGAAGTGTGAAGACATGATGTGAATGGCCTATCGCATTTGCTAGGGCCGAACATGTTTCATTCATTCCTGAATCAGCTTTGTCAAAACAAAGCAGGGGCAGTGTGCTGCAGTGGACTGTGCCAATTGCCATCAGTGCGACCTTGAACTTGCCAAATAATGTAAAATCACAGTTTTCAGATCTCTAAGATGTAGATAAAATCTACCACACAGGATTGCTATGAGAATTTTCAAAAAAAATCCAGTAAGTATCCTGTCTGGTACTGCCATCTAAATGTTCACTTCTCAATGGGCAACATTTGTAGAAAGTATTGGGTTCTGTATCTCCTTACTGAATGGAGCGTCTAGCTTCACACAATGGGAATGTTTTGCTTTCTTTTAATGTTATGGTGCATTGTTCCAGTTTTGAGAGTGAATAAAACAAGATCTCTGGCAAAACTATACAATAAATATTATCCCCCTTCCGTAGTCCTTGACCTAGTTAAATCTGTATTACAGGTAGACCTAAAATCCATTATGAATATGAAAACACCGCCTTCATTTTCATTCAGCCATATCTGTAGGCAAAAATGGTTATTTACGAGAAGAAAAATATAATTAGCTTCTGAAACATTTTATTTTATTTGGAAAGCCTCCTTTCTCCAGGAACATAACAATGACTTACTGATTTTTAAAGTGTTATACTTTAGAGGTGGTCAAAATACTTTTCTAACAATCATGATGGTTTGTATTTCTAATCTCAGTAACACCTAGCTAGAACATAAAAATGGTCTTCAGAGAACCTTTGGGCCTTTCTAGTTTTTGTCACCTCAATTTTGCCTTTGTATGCATCCAGGAATCTTGGGTGGGTTTTAATCTTTCCATTTAGCATTTGGTTAGTTAGTTTGTTTAATAACTAGGAGTACTGAAAGATACAAGTTGACTTATCAGCTTGTGAAGCCAAGGAGAAAAATACAATGCTGTCTGTGATACCCCAACGATAATAAAGAAGATGAAGGTGCCTACCCTGAAACAACTCTGTAAAGTCCACTGTGGTGGGCATGGTCCAAGCAGTCTCATCTTGCTTGGAGATTCAAGTTGGAGCCCTTGGTAATGGTCATGTCAAGTCAAATGACCCTTGAAAAAAGTAAAAGGCATCATAGGTAGAACCCACACAATACTTTCATTATAGTAGGCCCCTTTTGCTCCAGCATGTTCTCTGTTCTTCATTTGAACACCAGTAGGAGTAGTTTGCTTGGATTGAGAAGATCTATATATATATAGTCTCAACGTGGAAGCTGAGATTGATGGTGGCAACATCAAATTGATCTCTCTTAATTTATGATATAGGAGAAAACTCAGTGGCATACAGTGGACCTGCAGTTGTATTTAGGTGATTAAATGTGTATTTTAAATAATTTCATCGCATTTGTTTTCTACACAGGAAAATTCTTTTACTGGGACCAGCTCATTCCCTACTCTATCCATATACCAGTGACCGGAACGGCCATGTTTTTATATAGCCTCACCCCTCCCACAATATGGACCAATCCCTGCACTTTCCTGAGATATTTTAAATTCCAAAACACAGAGAGGGTGATACAGTCTCCCTCTTGTGGTCAAAGCCAAAAAATGTGAATCCTGTTTTCCATATGTCTCCACAGAAATAGAACATACAGTGAAAAAAGTAATAGTAAGAATACAGTTGAAAGCCAGACAGAGGGAGCTTTGAGACCTGGAGGGAGGGTCTATAGCATTCAAACCCCTGATTCCGTTTGTTCTTGAGATTCTGCAGGATCGCGCCTCCTACCTTTGTTTGACTGTTCAACTCTGTTCTGATTGTGAAAGTTGGTAAGTGACCCCTCTAGCCAATAGCTTGCTAGGGTTAACTTTCTGACACTTGCAACTACATTGATATAGTCACCAAAGTGTTTACTTAGATCAATGTTCTCCCCAGCAAAGACAGAAATAGCAACCTGATAAAAACTTTATTACTGGCATAAATGTATAGTGGCCTTACCTTTGCCAAAACACTTCACTAGGATAGTCCAACACGACTTAACAATTTACTTTTGTTATCTGGGTTTTAATCTCCTCATCAAAGAAACGGTAGGGTTGAGCTAGATCAGAAGAACTAAGGGAGCCGCATGGACCACCTAGCCGCACAGCAGTGAGTGTGCGCTCAACCTGACATTCTTTCCCAAGGACTTTCAGTTCTGCTTCAGAAGACTTCTCACCGCCGTATGCAGGGTGGAATTTACTTTTCATTCCTGGACCTTAAATGATCTTGAAATACCATTATAACATTGCTAACAATGTAGTGAATTAGACCAGACAAGTAACTGATTCCCATTACGCAAGTAAGGAAATTGAGTCACAGAGAAACTTCTAGTTTACATAAACCTGTTCAGCTTCTTTTTAACCCTCTTTTCCCTCTTCATATACACCTGGGGAGGTGGAAGGAGGATGAAAGACTGTGGCTGTTCTTTAGTAGTTTCTTTCCTTGGAAAAAGAACAGGGTGGGGCATGCCACTGCTCTGGAAGTCTTCTGCACTGTTGCATTGGAAATTATCTCCTTTTCTTCCCCATCCTTTTGTCTCCCTTAATTTATTGCATCACATCAGCACCATCTGGCTGTACCCCATATTAGAGGAAGATGGGGCCCAGTCAATTACCGCTTCTCTGAACTAAGCTGTACCCTGGTGAGTAGCATTCCCAAAGGGGTTTAACTTAGGAATGGGAAATAACAGAGAAACAAAGAGAAACTTGTTCAGAGACCAACTTTTGAACCCAAGCAGAGATGCAAATTTGGGGTCTAGGCATGCCATTTAGTCAACCATGCAAATTAGCACATGCTCGCTTGCCTGGGGCCCCGAAAGAAACCAGGAGGGGACCCACAAGGAATTCCAATCTGTTCTGTTTCTCCTTCAATTGACTTTTGATCGTGTTTTAGTTGGTATTTGCTTTTGTGGCTGCCTATGGCTGAAGGTAAATGTTTGTTTTCTTAACCTGGGCATCAACAAGCAGAGATGAAATAAAAATGAGTTTAGATTGAAAGTTAATAATGGTAAAGTTTAAGCATAAACTAGGAAGAAAAAATAGAGCGTGTGTATAATTTATATAATATTTATTATATATTTATATATAATTTATATATTTATATATATGCACACAGAAAAAAGCTGAAAAATTAGTCCAAAAATTAAATTCCAACCTAGTCAACTCCATATCTAGGAATCTTCCTTGTTTTTTTCCTTTAAAGGTCACCATTCACAGTTACTGTTCATGGATGCAGGGGTGAGGATGACTGTATTTAGTTGCAATCGTTTAAATTTATGCTCTTCATAAAAGCAAGTGTCTTACTCTGACAAGGGTTGTAACCCTCATGCATTTCCTACAGCTCTAGCTGAATTGGAACTATTAGGTCCTATTCACTTACACCTTCTCAGAGAAGATTCCATTTCCCAATTATTGGACCATTGAGTCAAATAAAAGCAAATGTTGTTAAAGAAAACAACATGAAAAGAGTCTTTCAATATCTAAAGAAAGCTGGGGATTGATCGAAACTAAGTAGTTGAAAATGCATCTCTATCCATGACTTGAACCACAAAGGTGGTGGGGGGCAGGGTAAAGGAAAGAGGGGAAGGAACTTAGAGCAGGGGCAAGAAAGAGAGAAAATTTATTGAAGTAAAGAAAGAGAATTGGTAGCTGGAATTTCCTGTGCAATTTAAGGCTGTCAGACCAGCGTCTTGCACATCTCCCCAGATTGAACACATCGCTATTACGGAAGCAGAGCTCTATTCTAGGATAGATTAAAGAGCTAATAGGTGAAACCAGCTGCAGGGAGCATCTGTTTTGTTGTTGTTGTTGTTTTTTGTTTTTTTTATTTCAGAGCAGGAGTCCTTGCAGAACTAGAAAAATACAGATTCCAGAGTTCTCAGGAGGTTGCAGCCTAGGAGGGCGTTTTCACAACTTTCCAATCTTTAAAGCACTCTAAGCTCAATGAATCCCCATGAATCCTTCCAACACGTGACTTGCCATCACAACTTTACCTTCCAAAACATTACTGGGGTGAAAAGACCTGGAGCACAGCTTTGCTTTTAGCCAAGGTATTCCCTATTCATTGCCTTATAATTTGACTAATGCCTGGGTGACTATATTTGCAGATCCTGTCTTCTAGGCTACCGTGAGTAGTTGCTCCATTACTTATTTCCTAAATGAATAGGAGAACTACTTCTTCTCAGTCATCACAGCCTAAGCAAGTGGTTTGAAATGATAAACCTGTCAAACAGCTTGTGGTCACACAGCTGACTTATAGAATCTTTAGGAGCTTTGATTAATATGACTTGTGGGGGTGTTGGAAAAAGAGAAGTCACTTAGGATAACATTTGTTAACAATCAGTGGTAAGTCCTATGCAACCATAAAAAAGGATGAGTTCATGTCCTTTGCAGGCACATGGATGAAGCTGGAAACCATCATTGTCCACAAACTAACACAGGAACAGAAAACCAAACACCACATTTTCTCACTCATAAGTGGGAGTTGCACAGTGAGAATACATGAACACAGGGAGGGGAACATTACACACCGGGGTCTGTCAGGGGATGAGGGGCTAGGGGAAGGATAGCATTAGGAGAAATACCTAAAGTAGATGACGGGTTGATGGGTGCAGCAAACCACCATGGCACATATCTATGTAACAAACCTGCATGTTCTGCACATGTATCCCAGAACTTAAAGTATAATTTTAAAAAAAAAAAAAAGAAAGGAAAATAAATCGTTATGTGAAAAAAAAAAATCAGTAGTATGTCAAGAAATTTAATTTCAGTATATTTTCATAATAACCCTGCAAAGAAAACCTGGTTATTCCTATTTTCACTGAGGAAACATAAGACTTCTCAAGAATCTCCAACATTCATGGCTAGGCTTGCAGAGAGGGAACTCAGTTGTCTTTGACTCCAAAAGCTCATGAACCATGGAAAGTGCATCAACCTTTTTTTTTTTTTTTCTTTTTCAAAGCAGAGTCTCTCTCTGTCACCCACGCTGGAGTGCAGTGGCACGATCTTGGCTCACTACAACCTCTGCCTCCCAGGTTCAAGCGATTCTCCGGCCTCAGTCTCCCGAGTAGCTGAGACTACAGGCGCCCGTGACAATGCCCAGCTAATTTTTGTATTATCAGTAGAGACAGGGTTTCACCATGTTGGCCAGGCTGGTCTCAAACTCCTGACCTCAGGTGATCTGCCTGCCTCAGCCTCCCTATGTGCTGGAATTACAGGCATGAGCCACCGCGCCCAGCCAAGTGCATCAACTTTTAAAGCTGCATTGTCTCCTACTGAAAGCCCATTTAAACAGTGAACATTTATGGTATGAAGAGTGTATTCCTATATGCCAATATGTTAGAAGTTTCTGTGGATTAGTAGCAGTGCTTTTTAAGCTTTTTTGTTCATGGTGCAAATAAGGAATGAATTTTATAGTGGGGTCCTGTGCACACATACCTATTATATGTCTATAAAAAGTACATTTGTAACTGAAAACCACTCACAAAACAATACTTTCTATGTGAAAAACATTCTGATATGTTCTAGTGTATTTTCAGACTATGTATAATACTAGAACAGTGGTTTTGAGTACTTTTTATGGAGCAAAACCAGCTGGGATCATATGTGAGTGCAGATACTTGCCAGTTGTTGTAGGAACTTGGAAAAGCGACTTAACCTATAAAAATAATTGTACCTCATAAGGTTGTCATGAAGATTAAATAAATATTACATGAAAATCACTGACATAACAAGTACCCAATAAATGTTGGCTTTTACTCTGTTAGGACCTTAGCACAGCGCCTAGATGGAGCAACTTTACAATGACCGACACGTAAAAGCACCACAAAAAGCTTTGCTGTTTGTGATGCTGTATACTTACTATGTCTACTAAGTGTAGCACAATGTGATAGGATGTATGAAACAAAAGAAATTGGAGAATATTTACACAGATAAGCAAAAGGAATGGGACATCAAACAACATAAACAATTTTGTGGAGACAGATTTTTTTAAAATATTGAGATCAGATCCTTAGTCATTTCGTTTTATAATTTAATAAATTATAAAAATAAAAATAATACGGTATATGTATTTGTCT